CGTCCCAATGTTTATCTTTGTATCTTTCAGGTGATGTTTAGACGAGCGCGATGTCTAGTGCCTGGTAGCTTAGCACCTTTATCCTTGCTTTTGTGGCCTGTGCGCCAATGTAGTTAGACTGATGTTTTGGGATAGATGTATACACTTGCAGATTGTTTGCCGTAGCGTTTACCGTGTTTGGTAGACGTGGCGTGACACCCCGTTGGATTTCTTTTATCCAGTTTCGTTTTATCTTCCGTTGTGCTAGTTTTGTTGTTTAATATGCATGTGTTAAGGCTTTTATATAGGTATTGTTTGGGGGGGGTGTTACAGCCCCACCCGCGGGGTACATGACTGGTGGGAGTAGGTTCCCGCGGGTACGTATTTTGATGATGGTTGGGGATTTGTTCCCCGTGATTCTTTTGACTCGGTATTTGGTCTTTTGACTTTTCAATGTTCTTTTGTGGAACTATTTGAGTGACTTCTTGATGTTTCGTATGTCTAGAACTATATGGTAGGATTCCATGTAGGTTTTGGTGTCTTGAATCGTGCTAAGTGTTCAACCTTGTGATTCGTTGAACCGTGATGAGTCTTGTGTGTTCTTCGGAACTATGTTTGGTTTACCCGTTTGATAAGCATGCTAGTTCGGTGTTTAAATGCTAGCGTGTGCGTTGTTTGTCCTTTCATATTGAGAATGATGACTTGTGTAACACCCCGTGTTACGGTCCTTAATCCTGAATTAATTATTTAATTAATTCCATTAATAATAATTAAAAAGGATTTAATTTGATAATAAATCCCTTTAATTAATTAATGTGGTCCACCACGGATCTTGGACCCTTGCCTAAAATAGAGTCATAAGCCTATTAGAAATAAAGAAATACCTTTACTATTCAGATTATGATTAGGATTCTCTTTAATTAATTAATATGGTCCACCATGGACCATGGACCCTTATCCCTAAAAGAAGCTCTTAATCCTATAAGGAATAGAATTAGTAAACCCATACCATTCAGACACTAATTAGGACTCCTAAATATATATATAAGGACATAGGAGGCACCTAGAAGTCACACCACAATAATTATCACCACACAAGAATTCCCAAGGGACTCCCCACCACCAAGCCTAGGGAGATCAAAACGGATGGAAATCTTAGGGAAGAACCTTAATAGCCAAGGGATGATTAATTAAGGCTAAGAGGTATCCCATGTCTCAACAAAACCTATTTTCTTCGCTAAATTCTCCTTCCTTGGCCTCCCTCTATATTCTTGTGTCTTGATTGAATTCTTCTATGATAATTGTGTTATGTTCTTGATGCATGATTGATAGGATGATTTATATGCTTTCTTGATAATCTTGATGATCTTGATGTTAAAAAGAAGTTCTTGATTATGATATGATGATTCTTGACGAATCTTGATATTTCTTGATAATAAAATATGTTCTTGATAATTTGGGTGGGATTAGAGCCCTAGGTTGGATTGGGAATTTGTATTGTGATGTTCTTGATTTATATTTGGGTGGGAATTCGCATGTTCGGGTGTTGTTTATATTTAGAAGTCGTAATAGGATAAGTCCTACATGATTCTTGCTTTCGATCCGTTAATTGCTTACGTGATGTCGTTATTTGCGTTTAAAAGTGTCTAAGCATGGTTTCGGGTTCCACAAAGGTTCCCGGGACGAGTATATGAGTAAAGAGTTAGTGGGGGGTAGGTGGGGGTGGGGGAACCCACCACCTACCCGCTGCCCAAAGGGGCATTGCCCGGCAGCGGGCAGCCACCGGGCAGCCGACTGCCCGCCGGCAACCCGCTGCCCGGAACAGTGCCCTCCAGCGGGCAGCCGGCGGGTGACCCCCACCCACCGGCTACCCGCTGGTCCGTACCCCACCCCGGGTCCCCGGCTTCCCCGTTTGATGTTCCCCATTCCCCGTGGTGTCCCAACGGACCCCGTTTGTCGTGCTTGAGTCTAGTTTGATGTTTCGGGTTCCACTCGTAGGCTAGGTGAGTCTTAGGGATTGCATGCTAGTTGAATTGGTAATCCGTTGACCTAGGTGGAAGTTGTATGAACCCTTAGGACTATTCGTAGTATGTGAATGATCACACGTAAGTTTATTTATATGTCTTTCCCCTCCCGATATGCTATTACGTGCTCCTATGTGTTATGTGTTGCATGATCCCCCATTTTGGTTATAGGCCAATTGGGTGGTTCCCGGACTAAGGTTCGGAAGTCAGTTGAAGACCGAATGGATTGTTCCCAGACTAAGGTTCGGAAGTCGGTGTAAGACCGAATGGATTGTTTCCGGACTAAAGGTTCGGAAGTGGCTGAAGGCCATATGGATTGTTCCTGAGCTAAGGCTTAGAAGTGGCTAAGGCCAAATTGATTCACTTCTTGGGCTACAGGTCCAATTATGGGCCTCGGTGCTATGACCCACCGGACCTGAACGCGCCAAGACGGTGTGTAGGGCCAATAAGCCGAGGAAGGCTGTAGTCCACCGACCTGAGTAATCAGGCGGTGTGTAGGGCTACGGCTGGCTGCGATCCACCGAATGATGGGACAGCGGTGTGTATGGCCATAGTCTCCGAGGATCTTCGCCCACCGACTGAGTATAGCTCAGCGGTAAGCCGGGCTTGATCCACTATGGTCCACCGACTGTGCGCATCGACGGTGTGTAGGGTCGTAAGTCCCCCCTTGTAAAGGGGATCGCGGTCCACCGACTGGGTGCGTCAGCGGTGTGTCGGATCGTGATCCGACATTGAGTTCGTCAGCGGTTCTCAAAGGGTTGGTTGCGATCAACTCCCCTCATATCGCGGTACTGAGGTAGGGTGCTGCGGGGCCGTGTTAATGCTATAAGCATTAACCCTCATGTTCGGGGCATGCGATTGGTCCCGTGGCGCCATCAACGATTATGTGATATGAATGATGATTGAATGATGATGTGTTTGAATTGAAAAGTGAACTGTGACCTTAGATGAGTATTCCTTATGATGTTATCTCTACTTAACTGTTTATTACTGTTTGATGTGATTATCCCTACTTGTCGAGTCTATTCCCGGTTTTAAAAGCTAGAGTCTCCTAAGTATATATCTTCTTGCTTCAAAATGGTTTTCCTATATCTATATCTATATATATACCTATATTGTATTTCAACGCGTTGGAGTGGGTTACCGGCATCTCTCGCTGAACTGATATATTTGGCTTTCAGGCATAGATGAGTAGACACCGGAGCGCGCTAGAGATCTGGAGCGTAGAGTAGCTAGTTTCCCTTTTTGGCCTGCGTGCCATGCTTATGTATTGACATCATTGAGGATTTTAGTTAATTATCCTGTGCACCTGAGTTCTCTAGCTCAGGTGTGGCATAGCACCCCATACTTTTATGTTGGATTTCGGGATTTAATGAGGAATTACCTTTATTATATAAGTTTTAAAAGTTTCAAAATTTCGGGGTGTTACAACTTGTGTTAATCATCGTTGGAGTCGGATTGTGATCCTTTCCTTGTTGAGTATGGTTTCATATCTTCGTTGTGATCCGTTGTTTGATTCCTATGATGGTGTTGTGTGTGTGGCTGTACCTGGATTGCACGATTAATGGTATGGGACATTAGTCACCATGGTACGGCAGTGGTCCTCGTGGTGGCCATGATGCGATTATGGAGTTTGTGAACTTTGTGTAAGGTTCACGTATTTGTTTAGGGTAACATTTGTTACCAAGGCATGTGTTGCCATGTGTGATCGGTACCCTCGTGTACTATGAAATCGGTGGTTTTGTTGGAGACTGTCGGAGAGGTGACGACGGTCCTCGGAGGAATAAGGTTGGACTTGGTGTACAGGGGTCCTGGAGGTACAGGTTGGAACTAGCTATAAGGTTGGGGGTAGCCATAAGGTTGGAACCGGGCATAAGGAAGGCATATCAATTCGTGATGGGTGATGTCACGAAGGCATGTGTTGCCATTGTTGTGTGTTTCTTTATTTGTGACATGTGTTGTCACAAAGGCATGTGTTGCCAACAGTAGTGTCTTTATTCTCTTGTGTTGTGCATGTCGGGTGTTATTCTACTAAGTGATGGTAGAATACGCCTTGAGCCGTTCTTGTGTGTCGTTGTACTTCTTGTTGTCTTGGGATGTGTTCCCTTATCTTTGCTGTGAGTGCATAGAGTCTTGTGTTTGACTTCTACTCTTGGATTTGAACTTATATATACTATATCCCGTTTCAGAAATGATTTTGTATATATATGTTATCTATGTATGATACTTCACATGTATTGGTGGGTTACCAGCATCATTCGCTGACCAGGCGTTGTCCCATATATTTATGTGTTTCTTTCAGGTGCTGAGTAGATGACAGCGTGGTCTATAGACAGTATAGATCCCTTGAACCTTGTGATGGTTTGGGCCTGCGTGCCTTTGTTAGACTCTAGACTTATTGTTGTTGGCTTTGTCTTTGGATAGAAAGATTATGTTGCAGATGTTTACGCTTGTGCGTCCACCGTTGGGTGGGCGTGGCATAGCACTCTATGTTTTCCATATATTCCATATTTAGTCTTCTATTGTGTATGTTTTTATGGCTAGTTATCTTCATGATTAAGGTTTAAATTAGTATGGAAATCGGGGGGTGTTACATATAGCTCAAAGGGCATTTTATTCATGTTTTGTTCTTGCAACTCTAGAGAGAGTGGAGAGAGTGGAAGGCCCTAATAATGAGAGCTAGGGGCCCTTTTATAGGCTCACGGAGGTGGCGGGTTTGACCCGCTGACTGGGTCCCGAACTGCTTGACCTCTACCCGACTATAGGCGGGAACACAGACCCAGGTCGGGGTATATATCCTATCATACATCTTAACAAGATTTTCCAACCCTAGACTCTAAATCTAATTGGCAAGATTTTCGAACCCTAGACTCTAAATCTAATTGGCACTAGGACCTCCAGGTATAATTGTGCAAGGATTTTTTACCTCAAAATTCGGCTCGAATAATGCAATGAGTTATAGACCGCAAGTATCATTTAGTCAAAGGCAAAGAATCATATAAAAAACTCAAGGAAGTAAACCATAAATAAACCATCAATGTCATGGACCAAAAAAAGTAATTCGTACATGGAAGAAATAGTTTGTGCAACATGATAAGTAACAAACACAATGTGTTCAGCGTGCACAATCAAAAGGAAGCAAAACATGATAAGTAACAAACACAATGTGTTCAGCGTGCACAATCAAAAGGAAGCAAGGAAAAACTAAAAGCTACTAAGTCTCGCGGGTGAGCCTGCATCTCTCCCCTCCCCGGTCGCCTGAGCGAGGTCATCTATGGTGTCCAGGATATGGATCTAGTCCAAAGGGGTCGATTCGGGAGCCGTGTTAAAGGTTGCAAAGCAAGTCTGCGAAGAGAGGATGACCGGTGGCCGAGTGCAAGGTGAGGTCGAACAAGTCCTGGCATCAATTGCGTCAATGAGCTCGATAGGAAACTCGGGGTTTGCAAACTCGGCAGGGAGACCCCATGCCTTGGGGTCGAAGGTCTCATCCCTCTGGCGAAGAACCGAGTAGATCCTTTGTTGCATAGTATACTCCCCCACATCATGCATCATCATCCCCTCCATGGTTACAAGCTCCCTCCCAGCTGTGATGCTCATCAAATTCTCGAAGACCTCATTCACATGTTTAGTGATGTAAGTCTTCACATCCTCCCTGAAGGCCTTGGAGCTCCGGTAGCGCGACAACATCGTGGTAAGGGCCTCCTTATGTGCCTTTTGTTTCCGGACACGCCAAGCAACTAACCAGGCACACTTGTCCTCTAAATCCATAAGTTTCACCTTCAACTCCTTTAGCTTGGACTCCACTTCCAGGCGAGCTCTCATCTCAATCGCCAAACGGGCCTGAATGAACCCCAAAACCTCATCATTGGCAACATAGCGAACGAGGGCCTGCATAAAGTCATAAGGTGAGAAACATGGTTAAGTAATGATTGCAAACCACAAGCAAACACATACCTCTCGCATGGGGGGTACTGGAGCATAAATCATAGGGTCAACCGAGTGAGTCGTGGAAAGAGTCAAGCTCGAGCTCGTATCCTGGTTGCGCAAGGAAGGAACCTGAGTTGCTGGAGGAGCTAGGCTACTCTCGCCCATCATTTGTCTCTTGGCAGCATCGCGACCATTCAAGCGACGAACGAGGTCTGCACGTGACTCATGGGACTCCGCCATATCTGTTACAAATAAGAGTTAAGCATCAAATATAAAGCTACTAGTATTTTCACCCGTGCATCATTGTTGTAATATATTAAGAATATTTAAATCAATATATAATTATTTAAGAGTTAATTTCACCAGAGGTCGCTTATCTTTCCTGACAATTCCAAATTTAATCCTAGACTATAGTTATTAATTATTGCGATTTATTCTATGATATAATTCTTACGTTAATATTCTTACTATTATTATTAACACATAATTACTTTTAGATATTATTATTACCACTTATATTATTATTATTATTATTATATTATTGTTATTATTAGTTTCTTTTCAAGTTCTGTTAGTATATAATGGCCGTGAGGCACAATAATAATATAACCATAATTAAATATTCTTGTATTGTATTCCGTGAGACATAATAATAATATAACAATAATTAAATATTCTTCAATTCTATATTCTTCTAGGATTTCTATTACCATCATTAATTATTCCCTAATTTATTACAATTAAATAATTTGACCAATTATAAAGAAAGATTATTAAATAATGCACGGGACAATTTTTTAATTAAAAATTTTAAAAATTCATAAATAAAACATAAGGTTCTCATAGGTTCCTCGAAAAAATACGTGATTTCAAAAAAATATTTGTCCAAAACGGACAATCGAGTCAAAAGTTAGGCTATCCTTATCCCAAAAATTTCTCTCACTTTCTAAAATGGGTCCCACTTCCACATCATCAATTTTGTATATAATAAAATAATATTAAAAGAAATAATAAAAATAAAAAAGACATAAAAAGTTGTGCAGTTGTCCTTTTGCAGCTTTTTCTTTCATTAGCAAATTCTCTCTCCTATTTCTATTTTAGCAATTCTCTCTCCAATTTCAATACACATCAGCATAAAAAAAGAATAAAAAAATGTATTCTCTCTCTTCCATGTCATTTAGAAAGGGGTAAAATTTTTGGGATGGGGTTAGCCTTATGCTTTTCCGAACTTTTGACACTTTACAACTTTAAAAAAATAATAGCAATAATCGCCGGCGAGGCGGCCGCGGAGGAGGCCGATTCCGGCCTTTCTCATCGCGGCCAGCGGCGCGATTTTTGCAACATTGATATATAGTATAGATATAGATTAGAATAGGAATAGTATTACACAATTTTATAATATTAGAATAGAACTTTAACGCAGAATTATTGTATGAATGAGAAAGTAGAAATCAATATATTTTATTAGGAAGAGAGATTTTTTAGGAATTGGGCGGGAAGTTAAAATTTCAGGATTTTATTTTTATATATAGTATAGATAGTATAGATAACAATAGGAATTGTATTACACTGTTTTATAATATTATAATAGAATTTTAACGCAGAATTATTGTACGAATGGGAAAGTAGAAATCAATATATTTGATTAGGAAGAGAGATTTTTTAGAAATTGGGCAGGAAGTTAAAATTTCAGGATTTTGTTTTTATATATAGTATAGATAACAATAGGAATTCTATTACACTATTTTATAATATTAGAATAGAATTTTAACGCAGAATTATTGTATGAATGGGAAAGTAGAAATCAATATATTTTATTACGAAGGGAGATTTTTTAGGAATTGGGCGGGAAGTTAAAATTTCAGGATTTTGTTTTTATATATAGTATAGAGTATAGATAACAATAGGAATTGTATTACACTATTTTATAATATTAGAATAGAATTTTAACGCAGAATTATTGTACGAATGAGAAAGTAGAAATCAATATATTTTATTAGGAAGAGAGATTTTTTAGGAATTGGGCGGGAAATTACAATTTCATAATTTTGTTTTTATATATAGTATAGATAACAATAGGAATTGTATTACACAATTTTATAATATTAGAATAGAATTTTAACGCAGAATTATTGTACGAATGGGAAAGTAGAAATCAATATATTTTATTAGGAAGAGAGATTTTTTAAGAATTGAGAGGGAAGTTAAAATTTCATGATTTTGTTTTTATATATAGTATAGATAATTCAAAGATGTTCTAATGTTGAAAGCAATGGTACGTTGTGTGTTTATTTATAATTTATGATTTGATATATGATATTTATATATCAATCCCGTCACGTCGCAATCTTCAACAATCTAAACTAAAGACATGTTTTTAGAGTTAGTGCCCGCATGGGTAGCTCAACTGGTCATAGATGTGAAATTTTGGAAGAATGACCAGGGATCGAGTCTCACCAACGGTAGTGAGGGGGGCTCCTTGTGCGCAGTGCGCACTGGTCTAGCCTCTGTGGTTCATGTTCAGTTGAGTCACCATGATTTACATCCTCCTAAATGCTCTGTCGGGTCGGGGTGTGGGGGCCCTTATTGTTGGAGTTCAGCCTTTGGAAGGATGTTTTTAGAGTTAGTTCACTTTCAAAATCTCAAAAAATTATCATTTGTCTTGATCATTGTATTATAGATGTAAAATATGGCTCAATATTATTAAAATATAATAATTTAACGTATTTTTAAAGTTATTTTCAAACACCATTTGATTCTAACTTGCGAATCATTCATGAATTAGTACTTTAAAAAAAAAAAATAGCTTTCACAACTAATAAGAATCGCAAGTTCAAACCTACCAAACTTGAGATACACATATATACCTCAAAACAAGCACTTCAATGGTGCATGTTTTTCGGTAAAAAAAATGTGGGAAGACATAAGAAAAAAGGAAGTTCATGGCATCATGTGACGGCAAGGAGCCATTAATATTTGGTGACTTTATTTTAATGTTTTGTGTGTTGTCATCATCGTTTCTATCTTGAAGATGAGTGAATGCGATAAATTACTTTATTTTAATGTTTTGTGTGTTGTCATCATCGTTTCTATCTTGAAGATGAGTGAATGAGATAAATTATTGTGATCTAGGAGCCATTAATATGTGGTGACTTTATTTTTATATTTTTTTGTGTCATCAACGTTTCTATCTTGAAAATGAGTGAATGAGATAAATGATGAGATATAGGGTATTTCTTAGCAGATTAACAAGTTCGTTATCAAAAGTTGAGTGAATGAGATAAATTATGAGATATAAAGTACGGATAGGCATGACCATGGTTCGGTTCGAACCGAACCGTGCACTGTTGAACTGAAACCGAAATAGAACCGTCCGCACGATTCCGGTTAAGGTTCGAGATGAAATGGAACCAGAACCATCGATTCTGGTTCCAAACTGAAAAATTTTAAAAATTTATAGTTTTTTTTATAATTTTTTTAATAAATCTGATTAGAACCGACAGTTCCAACCGAAACCGCCGGTTCTGAACCGAAACAGGAACCAGAACCTTACTTTAAGGTTCCAGTTTCGGTTTGGCCATTTGCGAAATCAGAACCGGAACCGCGATCACCCCTAAGTACGGAGTTGTAACACCCCGTGTTACGACCCCTAAAACCAAATTAATTAATTAATTACCATTAATTAACTAAAAGGGGTCCACCATAGTCCATGGACCCTTATCCCTAAAACCAACCCCTTAGTCCTATAAGGAATGGAATAGGCAAGCTCATACCATTTAGACCCTAATTAGGATTCTTAGGGGGACCCGCCACCTACCTGCTGCCCGAGAATCACTGCAAGGCAGCGGGCAGACGTCTGCCCGCCGACCACCCGTTGCCCAGAAGATCGTCGCCGGCGGGTGGCTCTCCACCCACCGGCTACCCACTGGTCTGTTACCCACCCCGGGTCCTCGGTTTCCCCGTTTGATGTTCCCCATTCCCCGTGGTGTCCCAACGGACCCCGTTTATCGTGCTTGAGTCTAGTTTGATGTTTCGGGTGCCATTCGTAGGATAGAAGAGTCTTAGGAATTGCATGCTAGTGAATCGGTAACCCGTTGGCCTAGGTGGAAGCTGCATGAACCCCTTATGACTATTTTTAGTATGTGAATGATCACACGTAAGTTTATTTATGCGTCTCCCCTCTTCCCAATGTGCTATTACGTGCTACAATGTGTTATGTGATGCATGATTCCCCAATTTGTTTGCGATCAAATTGGGTGTTCCTGAGTTGCGGTTCAGAAGTTGGCTGTGGTCAAATTGGTTACTTATGAGCTGCGGTTCATCTTCCTGGCTGCGATCAGTGATTCACTCCTTGGGCTACAGCCCACATGGGCCTCGTGTGCGGATGGTCCACCGACTGGACGCGCCAGCGGTGTGTAGGGCCACCAGCCTGAGGAAGGCCATAGCCCACCGAATGAGTGATCAGGCGGTGTGAATGGCTATGGTCGGCTACGATCCACCGAGTGAAGGGCCAGCAGTGTGTAGGGTCGTAGTCTCCGAGGATCATCGCCCACCGACTGAGTCCCTCAGCGGTGTGTAGGGCTTGATCCGCTACGATCCACCAACTGTGCTCGTCAACGGTGTGTAGGGTCGTAGTCCCCAAAAGAGGATCGCAGTCCACCGACTGAGCGCGTCAGCGGTGTGTAGGGCTGTGATCCGCCGTCAAAATATCGGCGATCTATACGGTTGGTTGCGATCAACCCCTTCATGCTGCGGTATGAGGTAGGGTGCTGCAGGGCCGTGTTAGTGCTATATGCACTAACCCTCATGTTCGGGGCATGCGATTGGTCCTGTGGCGCCACCAAAGTGTGCTTGTGTGACTTGAATGATGATTGAGTGATGATGTGAATGAATTGAAAGTGAACTGCGACCTTAAATATATGCTCTTTATTATACTATCTCTATATAACTGATTATCCTTGTTTAATGTGCTTATCCTTATCTGTTGAGTCTATCCCTTTATCCCTATCTGTTGAGTCTATCCCTGATTTTAAAGCTAGAGTTTCCTAAGTTTATATCTTCCTGCTTCAAAGTGGTTTTCGTATATCTATATATATCTACCTATATTGTATTTCAACGCGTTGGAGTGGGTTACCAGCATCATTCGCTGAACAGATATATTTGGCTTTCAGGCACAGATGAGTAGACACCGGAGCGCGCTGGAGATCCTAAGCGTAGATTAGTTAGTTTCCCTTTCGGCCTG